CAGCATAAGAGCCCCTCCTACCCCCTGATAACTTGAACCTAGGTGTTACACTGCAAGGACAATTCTTACAGATGAGATCAGAGTGTTGGTCATGATCGTATCAAATTAACTTTAGATAATTAGGTCAATGAATTTGGGCAGAGCTCTCATCATGCACTGCAGGCTCTCATGTGATTGGTATGGTGGTTTTAGCTTGCTACTCTGGTTGGTACTTAGAAAATACCCTGCGAACAGTTGTGAATAAGAAAATCATGCCTGAAAAATAACACTCAGTGAAGTTGAATGAGATTTTGAAACTCGACACACAAGGAGCAAAATGTCAGACCAGATTTGCACAACTATACGCACATTTTCGACCTTACACTTTTTGCAAAACACACTTTTCTACATTAGACACATCATTCAAAACTAAAAGCCTTTGTGTGTGAATTGCTAAACACTGCCACTGAAACACCACGCTCAATTAGCAATCACCTGAACTCAGAATGTCACATGTGAAGACACATGTAAACAATCAGACAATCAATCACGCAGAATTCACAGCTTGATCATGAGGAAGAATATACACATTCTTCAGTGTAGACTTGCTGACACCTAGGAGCAACTCTATAACCCCACTGAGTTGGCCCCTTGATTCCTTTCATCAAGGAGATGATATTTAACTACTGTGGATTTGCTGATTCAGCATAAGAGACCCTCCACACACACACACAAACACCACACACACACACACACACTCTTTCACTTTCACATCACTTTGCTCCATCTATGTTTGCAAGTCACACTGTTTCACTGAAATCACATGACCACACCCCACCCCCCACCCCCCAACCCTATCCACTCTTACTTTAAATAGCAGAGCTGTGTTACTTTGAGTGCATCAGCACAAAGGGTTCTCAACCAGGTAAGTTTACAGCAGACACATCTAAATCATCTGTAATCTATGTTATTGTGAACATTTTTTTATTATTCATTTTTTCCCTTGTTTATGGAGGCGAAGCTCAGTGTTCTTCAGAAAACACATGCTTATTAAGGAAACATCTTTATCACTCTGACAACACATGCACTACAAATACACAAACACCACCAAATAGGTCACCGTCTGCACTCTGAGTCACTTTCTGGGCTTTGTTTTTTCCTGTTTTATTCTGTGTTATCTTTGTTATATTGTGTATTTAGTCTGTGTTTTCCCCTCAGTGTTTGTCACCTTGTCTCTTTCGGTTCCTGTATTTNACACACACATTACTGCTACTGCCAGTAATTTATCATTACACAAACAACTTGAAATCTGCACAGAAGGAATCTTTAAGTTTTATTGAACTGACCCCTGGTACACTTTCATATCACTTTGCTCTATCTATGTTTGCAAGTCATGCTGTTACACTGAAACCACACACACTAACACCACACTCACACACACACACACACACACACACACACTAACACCACACTCACACACACGCACACACACACACACACACACACACACACACACACACACACACACACACACACACACACACACCAATAAACACACAAACAAAAGCACACGCATAAAAGCAGAAGTGCTCACAGAGGCATAAGTATGTACACTTTCCCCTGCTGTGAAAGAACAGGAACATATTGAGGCTCTTCTATCAACATGGAAAAAGGAGAAAGTGGTCATTTGCTTTCCTCGTCTGGCGTGCTGCTGAGGGGGTTTTTGTGTTGCAACACACCTCCTGAGGCACGCTCGCTCAAACACATAAACGCAAACACAAAACCAAGCCCTGTTTGCTCTTGAGGGCGTCTCGCTCACCCTCTGAGAGATAAAATGACATGCTTTGCTGGCCGGTTGTTTTCAGCTCAGAGCTGCCCTGTTCGTTCTTCAAACATGGAAAGATACAAAGATGCTCATCTCTGTCTGTCCTTTTCATAAGAGAAGTCAACACAAACAAATTTAGACTGTTAATATCTTTAAATATTATTTTCGGAAAATGTATATCACAATGTATTTATTGTATATCTAATGCTTTATATACAGTATGAGGCTTACTTTTTGACATGAGCTCTCATTTAAACCCATAATGCTGCAGTTAGACAACCAGTCCTCCAAACGAACGGACAAAATACATTGTCTAATATACAGTGCCTTTGCTTTCCATACTGACACATATGAGTGTTCTCTAATC